AAGCTGACGGGCAGGTGGCCTCGCGTCACCGACATACCGTCGCTTCAGCAGCGCGCCGGACGGGCACTCCGGCGCGCGCGTGGGTCACGCTGCGAATCGATGACGTCGCGCCCGGAGGACGACGCCGACTACGTCTGTGTCAGATTCCGGCAGTGCCGCTGTCTCCGTCACCTTACACGTCACTGTCATCGGTGAGTCATCGCCCGGCCTCCGGATGACGGAGAGACGACCGCGACTGGTGTATTCTCTCTACGGGTGCCTCTCTCTAGGGTGTCTCTTTCATGGGCCTTCTTTCTTTAGGGTGTCTTTCTCTAGAGTGTTTTCTTTCATGAGTGTCTCTTCAGCGTGTTCTTTCTTGGCGTGTCTCTCTCAAGTGTTCTCTCCAAGCTGTCTTCTTCAAGTTCCTCTCTCGCAGTCTCTCTCTCCCTTTCTCTGACGTGTGTAAAATTCTTCATGGTATGTCTTGAGTACGGTAGCCAGGTATCCACCCCCTCCTTTGGTTGGACATAGAATATATATGTAGTTTGACTATATATTAGTGTCTCTTATATATTTCTATGCGTTCGGACACGAACCTAATCTCACTCTCGTCCGTTATCCTTTCAAGGTCGCCGCCCACCAGGATCATTCCCGCCTCGATCCCGGAGGTGGTCGTGCCAGTCACGCGGCCTCCGCCGACACCGGTCACCGAGGTGACGACTGAGGGCTCCGCACGGCCAGTTGACGACGGCGCGACGCACCGGCGCGGTAAGGTAAACCACGGCGATGATTATTGATGTGAGTCAGGATGCTTGAGGTCCCTGTCGAGCGACGGTCGACGATCACGTGCATCGTCAGCAACGTCGAAGACCTGAACGTCAGTGGACACTGACAGCTAGAGCTCGTGACGTAACACCGTGAACATAACACCGTCGGTAGTTTTGTCCAGCGATTTATATATATATATCATAGTTTGTTTTATTTATTTATTTATTATTTATAATGGTTTGGGGTCGCCCGACAGACGCTGAGACAAAAAACTAAACATTTTATTACCGAACTTTACGTGTTGTTATGAAAGAAAATTCGAATAAATACTTTATCTGATTTCACCAGCTGAAAATCAAGTATCTTTTTCTGTGCGTTTGTCAGCCTTATTCTGTGTTTATTTTTTTCAAACAACAGAAATATATATGTTATACTATTAAACATATTATTCATATTATTATTAATTAAATATATCATCGCTCGGGCATGTTGCAGGTTGTCTGGATCAGGTCTAAGCCGACACAGAGCCCAGTCATGTTAACGGCTAACGCCGCCACACTGATAGACGATCCCCGCTTCCACGCACTCGTGACGGGCAGCCCCGAGCAGCGGGGAGTACGGCTGCGTATAGCCGACGTGAGGAAAACGGACTCGGCAGTCTATACCTGCGAGGTGCCGACGATTCCACCTGTACAGGTGAACGTGTCGATCAGCGTCATAGGTGAGTGTATGGACACACGTACGCACGCACGCACGCACGCACGCGTACACACAACTTGTATTTCGTCTGATAGGTCTCGTGAATGCGTACAACGTGTCAACACGCTATACCGCTACAGTCCCTACAGCACAGTCACAAACCCCCACCGTCGGTCAATTACCTTCTTCAATTAACAATTAATAATCAAACTTCCGTCGCTCACCGTCGGCGTTTGTGTCACCGCTTCCCGCAGACGCCCCGGCAACGACCGCCGCGCCGCCGACGACATTCCGGCCTCCGATAGAGGTCAGCACTACTCCGTACCGCGTAGAGCCGTCGGTGAAGACGACGCCGACGCCGACGCCGACGGAGGACGAGCCTATGATTGTGGAAGTGACGCGGGATTCCGAGGTGCCAGCTGGCGCCACCATCGAACTCAGCTGTACAGTGCGAAACGCAGGCAACCTTAACGTGAGTGGAGGTGACGTCGCGATGGGCAGACAGGCAGATAGATAGATAGACAGGCGCGCGTAGAGAGTGAGAGAAAGACAGAAACACAGATAGTCACACAAACAGAATGACAGGCACGTAGACAGGGAGAAAGAGAGATAAATTGAGTAAGAGCGCCATAGGGATAAAAACAGAGAGAAACAGAGAGCACACGCGCGCAAGAGAGAGAGAGAGCGATTGAGAGAGAGAGAGAGAGAGAGAGAGAGAGAGAGAGAGAGAGAGAGAGAGAGAGTCAGAGCTAGCGATTGAGGGGTACCATGAGAGAGAAAG